ACATATATATAAAATGTATGTATGTATGTATGTATATGCACATATTGTGTGTACATGTAAAATCTCTGTATAAATAACAATATTATTTGGAATAATAATATAAATACATGTATATTTTTTCCTCACTTTAACAAGTGAGATAAAGTAGGCATAGTAATTGTCTTCTTGATATCAGTGCACTTATGTGGCCATCTGTGTATAAACAAGATTGATATAACAAAACCAATGTGATTGATGTAAATGCCTGGCATCTTTTGGATAACCCAATACTGCTGGGAAAATACTGTGCTATTTTTTTTGTGAAATGTGTCTGCAAGTGCTTAGCCTCAAAGGAGTCAATTAGTAGACCTTGTGACCTTACCTGATTTCACCTTTCCTTGAATTGATAGGAAAAACATTTTAAAAAAATAATGCTATAAATATAGATGGTGTTATTTTTATTATGGACATTATAATTACAATAATGTTATAGACATTAGTAACAGAAGTACAAGATAACGTAAAATATTTTTGAAAATCAAAAGGGCAAACAGGCAAGACAGGCAGTCCTCGTGATTGGCTCATTGGTAACTTGGTACATGTGTAGCCATCTGTGTGTAAAAGCAATTAATATAATAAACTCACAGTGGGCATGGCATGTATGTACATTCCACTCCTGGTGGCACTGGTTTAATATGCAATATATTTATGTATTTATACATGTATTTGTTTTTTTATTTATTTATTTTTCTCTTTGTAAATTTTTTTTTGGATCTGGAGGAGAGACAATGCATATACTTAGCCATGTATGAAACTAAAAGTTGTGATAATCATTGATAGGAAGTACTATTTGCAGCAGTTTAAAGTTTATTCATGTTTCAGGTTTTGGAGAACATTGAATTGAACAAGAAGTCAATGTATTCACGTGTGCCTGCCTGCCAGATCACCACGTACTATTATGTTGGTTTTGCATATATGATGATGCGTAGGTATGCTGATGCCATCCGAACCTTCTCCAATATTCTCGTGTACATCCAGCGCACAAAGGCCATGTTCCAGACAAGGAACTACCAGAATGACCAGATTAATAAGCAGGTTTGTTTTTTTTTCATGTTGGCTATTATCACACATTCCTTGGAATGTAAAATTGACTGTCACCCAAAAATTCATGCATTTGGTGAGAGATTGGGGTAGCTAATGAAGCGAACAGTGATTCTGTATGCAAAGTGTCAGAAAACATTGGCAATGTTGCTAATATAAGCAACTAAATTTCACTTCACTATAATTATGTAATTTGTCTTTGAAATAAAAAGTAATGCTGTGATTGGAATTATTGGTTAGGAAGGCACCCTTCTCTCAGGTGTCTGCTGCAGCATTTAGTTTTTGTTTGTTTACAGTTCTATTTAGAATTAGGATGTACAGTAGTTCACATTACAGTGATATAGGTTTAATGAATCTGTGTCTTATCCTTTTTTATTTCTTTCTTTTAGACTGAGCAGATGTATATCCTTCTTGCCATCTGCATGGTGCTTCACCCCCAGAGAATAGACGAGGCAGTGCAGTCTTCATTGAGGGAGAAAACTCTTGCTGAGAAAATGTCTCGCATGTCTGTAAGTATCATCATTTGCTTTGTTGATACTTTCTTTGTATTATAGATGTGTATTGCTTTTTCATTGTTGATTCCACATATCTCCCCTTAGAATTACTCATTTCACTACTGTATGCTGAAAGGACTGTGAAAGTAGACATATTTGAGTGTGAATTTAATATCAGTCAGTCAGTTTGTGAGTATGGAAATACAACCATATGTAGAATTGATTAGGTACTATAATATTTGCTGTTCTGTTCATATTACTTATGATTACAATGAATCAGATGTGTATGAATTATTAAAAAAAATGTTCTTCATTTTATGGTGTATTGCTGTAAAATAAAGAAATATTGTATAGTCCCCCCAAAAATTGTATGTCTATAATTGCTAAAAAGAAATATTTTTAAGAAGATCTAATATTTTCTTCTCAATATGTTTTGCTCAACAGCGTAATGATACAGCAGAATTCACTGCCAGTTTCACCTTTGCGTGTCCCAAATTCTTGAGTCCTGTCCCGCCTCCCTTTGATGCTGCATCTGCCAACTACCATAAAGAACCCTTCCAACAGCAGCTGAAGGTAAGTACATGTAAATTCGTTAATTTTGTCTTGTAAGTATGATATTTATTTTTAGTAGGTTAACTCACTGAAGGAGGACTTGCTGACGGCAATAAAATATAGACGGTTTCCAAAAATCAAGAAAAAATCAAGCATTTAGTAGGTCTAAGTATTCTCACCAATTTCCACCTTCCTTGAGTTTTAGTGAAAAAGTTAATTTGCTAATGTTATAAATATGTTATTGTTAATTATTATTATTATTATTATTATTATTATTATTATTATTATTATTGTATTAATATTCATCATTTTTTTTTTCCCCAACAAATAACTAGAGATAAACAAGTGAGGTAGATAAGACTAGTAATTGGCTCCTTAGTGATTAAGTACTTGTAGAGCCATGTGTGTGTAAAGATAAGAAAAAAGAAAGAAAGAAACTAGATGTGGTATGAATTTGTTCCTTCCCATCTGCCATGTGTTTTTGAATATACCTCTTTTATGTAGGTTTTCTTGGATGAAGTACAGCAACAACAGCAAATCAGTGTGATGAGATCGTATCTGAAGCTGTACACCACAATGCCCATGGAGAAGATGGCCACGTTCCAAGAGATGAGTGAAGATGATTTCCGCAATGCCCTCTTGTGTTTCAAGCACAAGATGCGCAACATGGTGTGGACAAAGGGCACCTCTGGACTGCAGGGAGACTTCCAAAGTGATTCTGAGGTGGGTGTAGGGTCAGCTACTAATGGGATGTATGGGAGTGTGATTAAAACTCTTCAGATTACCTTGTTGTTTTCAGATAACAATATTGTTCACACAGCATTGGATGCTATTAACCCATTGCCGCTGGGTGACATGTACATACATGCCATGGCATGCCTGGACTATATTATGGTGGCATGTGCATACCTGAAATGGTGCGCCAGCAGCAGGGCCTGGGCCACTATGAATATCAGGAAACCACCTGGTGGCACTGGGTGAAGGAAAATGAGAACTGGAAAGGTGATCTGGAGAGTACTTTTTCTCTTATCTGTAATTTGTGTGTTCATTAACTTTGCCATAAGTATGACATCATTTTCCTCAAAAAAAAAAAAAAAAATCTGTATAACTGTATTTGTAATACTATTAGTATTTGCTGCAGCCCTATTCACTATTTTTACAAAATACCTAATGTATTTGGTGCTTGGTCACAACTATAATTTTGGTGATTTGTTAGTATTAGATTTTTTTTTTTTTTTAAGTTTTTCTGATACTCTAGTGTATCTGATACATTATTCCAACAATGACAGGCATCTCACTGATGAGATGGCCAAAAAACATACAGTTGCTAGTCTCTCATGTTCTTGATTTATACTTCAATTCCATTGCCTGCTATGTTGCTTCACACACGGGTCCCTAGCAGCAGGTACTTATTGCTGTAGCTGTCACCTGGAATTTAGGGGGTTCCCTAGCAGCAGGTACTTATTGCTGTAGCTGTCACCTGGAATTTAGGGTGTTTTTCATTCATAGTTACCCATTGTAGATGGGTTAACCCCCTTGGGTCTGGATGTGGCCCAAAATAGAGGCATTAGGCTTACTTTAGTGGCCACTCTGATGGGTGTGTGGCTTGTAGGTTGGGTGCACATGAACACTCATGTAGAGACAAGGCTACTTGTGTCCCCATTGCAATGTTATTTTCTCCTTTTCTGATATCTGACTTGCACAGACTCCATAGTCCATAACACAATGCAATAATTACCATAATAAGTAACTTTTTTTTTTTTTTTTTTTTCCCTTCCCTTTTTTCCCCCAATGTACAATTTTCTGTAATGCAACCTGCACTGCCAGTTAAGACGGCCAGGAATAGGATCCTGAGCATGGAAATATCTTCCTTTCTGGAGCTGGTGCTCCTCCGGTCATGGCTCATGGATGATGCACTCCACACTCATTTATCAATGGAAATTAAGCTAAAGCCCCATTCTAAACTGCAAATGAGTCTAATTACCCTCCAAGAGCTTTATGCACTTGTGGCACATCATTCCGACCACCCCCGCCTTCAGCTGAAATTCTCATGATGGCAAGTTTTTGTCACCCTGTTCCTAAGCCAGATTTTCTCATGATGGTTTGTTGACATTACCTGCCCCACAAACCCAATTTTTATGATGTGATGGTCATATCTGAATCATGGGGTTCAGTCATTATCAAGAAAGGTTAGCATTTAAATAAGCTAATAGATTGCTAATGATTTAAGAAATGGAATCCTCAGTATATTGTTTTTGTGAATTTTTCCCATTCAGGTTTTGAAACAAACTCTTCACCTTTTAAATTGCCCACACAGCCCTATAAGATGTATGCTTCCTTTTTAAGAAAAAAACAAATCTTTTGCAGGTGGACTTCTTCATAGACAAGAACATGATTCACATTGCTGACACCAAGGTCGCTCAGCGGTATGGAGATTTCTTCATTCGCCAAATTCACAAACTGGAAGAGGTCAACAGGTCCCTCACAAAGGTGAAGGTGTGACGGGCGTTTTCTCCCCGTACAAAAAAGGAAAATACACAGAATGTGGTGAACTAGGAAAAGTATATTTACTGGTTTGACACATTTTATAATTTGATATTTTATAGAGAAATGGTTTGAGAGAATCTTCTTTATTTTTTCTTATCCTTTTACATCATAATTATTTCTCTGAATTATATGTTTGTGATGAATGACTTATTATTTCTATTACTGTTTCTCTCACATGTGGCAAACCAGTTCAAGAAAAGTCTGTATTTTTTCCATGTAACATCAGTGAAAAATAAAAGAGACCAGTGGTACCTTTTTGTTTGATAATCTTTGTTAATTTTTTTTATAAGACTAAGCCATCATAAGCTGGAGAAATAAAAAAAAATATACAGCAGTATGATTCTTTATTAAAAATATGTACTTTAAGATTTTTATTTACAAAATAACAAACGAGTACAATTCTGCGCTCGCCCCACACAAAACTAAAATGTCTGAATCTATAGCTACTTATTTGTCTAGTTTTTATCACAATAAGATACTGTAGTTATGTAAAGATTTGACCAACTTTTGCCATTACCAGTGAGATTTTCACACAACATAAAAGTAAAGACAATGATGAGATCGTTACAGATAGTCTGGTTGAATTAACCAAATAAAGGAAAAAGAGAAGAAAAAATCCAGGTGCAATAGTGAAAAAAAATTTCCTATGTCATAATATGGAGTCTAAAATTCATCCTTTTTAAAACACTGCCCTATACAATAAAGTAATGTAAAGAGACAATGAGACCCAGAGAGTAAAGGCTGCCAATAAAAAAGTGTCCTCTACTTAAAGTCACAGTTGAAGCACTCTTTTGGAGAAATAGAATGAAATGAAGGTATAATTAAATATGAAGAAACGTTATTTCAAATTTAAAGAAAATGAACAGAATTGCACAGTACAGTTGGGAGAGATCCATGTATGTACTGTAAAGATTGTTCTAGTTTCCTGTAATATAATATTATCAATTTATATTTTACAACAAAGTTTCTTGACAAAAAAAAAAAAATTACGTACATCAATATACATATATATTTTTAAGTTGCTTAATATAAAGCTAAACTACAGATACTTAGACTTAACCCATTGGCTGCAGGTACATGTACTTTCCACTGTATTTTTTTTGTAAAATGTGCACACAAGTGGCTCTGTAAGTGCTCCTCACCCTAGAAGTTGATTAGCGACCTCACCTGATTTCCTCATTCCTTGAATTTTTTCTAATGCTATTAATGTCAATACTGTTTGATACTGTTATTGTCATCATTTACATGGTGTTTATTATAATACATTTTAATATACTAATAGCAGAAATAAAAGAAAATCAAGGAAAAGGGTGAGCAGGTGAGACAGGTGAGACTAGTAATTAACTCCTTGGTAAATAAGTACTTGTGGAGCCAGGAAATACAATTAATAAACTAAAGTCATAGTCGACATGACGTGTATATCATACCATTCGGAGTACATTTGGGTTAAAGGGGACACATCAGATAGAAGCAATTAAATTTGCAACTGAGAAGCATGCAAAAGTTTACAGACAAGCAGGAAATTGATGCTCTTATACTTCAGATAATTAAGATAAAAAAAACACTTATCATTATTTTTACTAATCATTCATATATATATATTGTTAATTTCACTCATAATCTGTGTAAAAGATATTTTGTTACCCTTGTCTTCTCATCTTGAGGCATATTTAAACACTTTAAAGTACTTGGCAATTTCTACTAAAATATTCCTTTTATATATTTTTTACACATTACAAACTATATTTATTGAACTATATTTCATTGTCATATTTTTAAAAAATATCTTAAAACTAGTTTATAAAGTTGTAAGAAAAAAGGAGCTGATTTTTTTTAGAGAAATAGTTTTGGAAAACAAATCTACAGCCAAAAGATAAACTAACACTGTAATAAAACTTACAGCTACTGCTTTTGGTCTTGAGTTATTTTGATTTCACCTTTCAAACTAAAGAACTAAGAATAGAAATATAAAAATCCAAAGAAAATCAACACAGAAATTACCAACATAATTTAGTACTATTTTCCCTCAAACATCTGTCCACAATTTCCACACTCAAACATCTGTAATAAGTGAAGGAGTAGGGGAGGCCTGGAACCTGCTGTGTGGCCATCTTCGGTACAACTGATTTAGTGGAACGTGTAAGAGCTCCATGAGTGTAGGGAATTCCTTTTCAGTTTCTGGGTTGATGTAACTATGGCGAACTAAGAAATCCACAGCCACTGGCACAGATGTCAACTTGTATTTGCTAGACGTGGCCCGTTCAAGGAGTTCCTGTGTGAGAGAGAGGGTAGTTGAATCTTTGAGTAGGTTTACGTTTTTGAAATTTGTTTGAATTTGGTTTATGGAATGAGATGGAAAGGGAAAGGGTTGGGGTGAGAGGGAAAGGGAGAAGAAGAGAGAAAAAGGGAGAGGATGAGAGGGAAGTGGAAAGGGTTAGGGAGAGAGAAAAAGGAAGAGGGAAGGAGAGGGAGAGAGAGGAGAAGAGTGAGAGAGAGTGGAAAAGGGGAAAGGAAAGGGAAGGAGGGAAAGGGAGACAGTAAAATAGATAGAGATTGAGAGAGAGAGAGAGAGAGAGAGAGAGAGAGAGAGAGAGAGAGAGAGAGAGAGAGAGAGAGAGAGAGAGAGAGAGAGAGAGAGAGAGAGAGAGAGAGACGGAAAGGAAGTAAGGACACCATAGTAACTAAGGCAATTTTTTGTATTTACCTCAACTGGAATGCATTCAAAGCCCTCAACTTCTCCATCATTATTACTCGGGGTGAAGTCAGAAGGAAGTTCAACATCGTACACAAACTCTGTGTTGGCATGGAGGCCGCGCTCAGACTCCGT